TATGCCCTTAGACCTATGTAGAAGCTTTTTTTTAAAGTGGGTATTAATCAATGCAGAGACAAATACTTGGTCAATGTGTTCAGAATAAAGCAGAATTCTTAGTCCTAAATGGGACATCTTTATCAACACCCCTATCAAGTTCTGGAGAGTAACCCAGAGTTATGAGAATAGCTGTAATGTTTTGCGGGTTCTGTGGTACAGCTCTAAAAGAAGTAATCCATACCTGGCACTAAGCTTTTTATCTGATAGTCAATAGTGTCTGGGGTAGCTCCTATTAAACCCCTCTTATAAATGTACGTATCCGGGTGGATACAGATATTAGGGTCTATTTATTTCTTTCATATTCACTTTCCAAGCAGCCAGTACAACACCTCAGCCTCCTCTGACTTCTACATAGACAGTATAAAGTTTATGCCATAAACACATGCATCCCTCAGCATTGGCTCTCAATGGTCAGTGTGCGGCTTTTGACATGCACGTGAGGACTCTGACCAGCAGGGGGCGAAGAAGCTCTAGGGCGCTTGTGCTAGGGGCCAGGGGGCGTGTCTTTTGCATCCTTGACGGACAGCTAAGGAAGGATGCAGGCGAGGATGAGGTAATAGCAGGCATAATGAGGAGGGAGGGCTGGAGGCTGTGCGTGCGTGTATGTGCGAGTGTGGGTGTGCCAGTGCGTGAGCGAGCCGGGGACGCGAGCCTCGAAGCTTCCGCCGCGGATTAAGTAGGCGCTCTATGCCGAAAACAGACGAACGGACGGACAAGTTAGAGTCTGCAAAATTGGGGCACTACGTTGAAAACAGAAAGACAGAAAGTTAGAGGCTGCAAAATTGGGGCACTGCCGGGGAGGGGCGACTCCTTCCGGAAATCACTGAGCGGAGCCGCAGGGAGGGGGAGCTGTGCCCCCGCGGTCGCTACGCTCCGCACGGAGAGAGGGCGGAGGGCGTGACCGTGCAGCGCGATCCACGCGGGCGCCCGCGGAGCCCCAGGCGCAACTGGTGTGAGGCGGGTGCAGCGTCGCTCGGGCCGCGCGCCCCCGGGTGGCTTTGCAAGGCGGGGCGGCGAGTGCGCAGGGCCGGGCCTTTGCATGAAGCCGCTGGACCCTTCGGAGCAGCGGCAGCAGCGGCGGAGCCCGGCGGCACGCGGTCGGAG